CGACATTACGATAATTAATTAGTTACATGTAAAGTCCCGTGTGCCGGTAAAACTTTAAAAACTAAAGCGTTCGTATTAAAAAATAACACGTTGAACGTATTGTCATGCACTGGATGGAACTGTTCGATTTGTGGAGTCTGTCCGTAAATTCGTTCTGTAAAAATGTGAATTGTCCCCCTCTAAAACAAGTATGGTGATTGAAAGTTTTTTTTTTAAATGAGTTACAAAAGAATTTTCGCACGGCGTTCTCCGAAGGTTTTGGAAAATGTCCTAAACGAAAGCATTTTTTCACTTAAAGGAAAATGTAGTTCCTGTTTTTAAACCTAAATTAGTGTCTTTTGCAGCTGTAGAACACATTAACAAAGAACTTGACAGATTAGAAACTTTAGAAATTATTCGGCACACAGATTATCCTGAGTGAGTAGCTTCAACAGTCTACGTAAAAAAGAAAAATAATAATTTTTCTACAGGGTTAAATGACACTATTTACATTATTCGGATTATTGTCCTCATCTTGGTCGCCATATTTATTACAACTGGCACAGTGGATAAAGGCGTTAGTTAGATCTAGTTTTAGGACCCAAAGAGTCTGAGTTCAATACCCGGTTAAGGCAGTGGAGGGGAGGACTTGGAGATAGGAATTAACAGGAGATAACTGATAACTAACATCCATTAAACATGGCTCGTGGAACTAGAACAGTCTACACAGCGAGCGAAATTCGACATTCTAACCACCTGAAGAAGACCGGAGTGTACAACGGCCGAAACTTTGTAATAAATATGTCGACAGAGATGAGGACAATAGTCCGAATAATATAAATAGTGTACATAATACCTCATCTCAGAAATATAGACAGATACTGAAGAATCGAATAATGTAAATAGTGTACATAATACCTCATCTCAGAAATATAGACAGATACTGAAGGATCGAATAATTAAAATAGTGTACATAATACCTCATCTCAGAAATATAGACAGATATTGAAGAATCGAATAATGTAAATAGTGTACATAATACCTCATCTCAGAAATATAGACAGATACTGAAGGATCGGATAATGTAAATTGTGTACATAATACCTCATCTCAAAAATATGGACAGATACTGAGGGTTAAATGAGTGTCACATATATCCATTACCGTCCTCATGAATTTTTTTTTCCCAAATTAAATGATGGAATTTTTTTTTAAAACATTGACATGTCAGATACGTACTTAGAGATTGAAGTGGATGAAAAATGTAAAAAAAATTGTTGACAATAAACACATATAAGGGTCTATTCAGATTTAATAGTCTACGTTTTGGGGTCAAAAGGGCACCTAGCATTTTCCAGCAAGTAATGCATATGATGCTAGCTGGCCTAGATTTTGCCGTTGCATATTTAGGCGACTTACACATAGAAAGCAAAAGTCGATGACAACATTCAGAACACATACAACAAGTATTCCCGAAAATAAAGGATCATGTGTTTATACTCAGTGAGGAGAAATACCAACTTTTTAGGGGCAATATAAAATACTTAGGACAAATAATTGATGCAGATGAGCATAGACCAGACCTATCAAGGATGAGTTCTATTAAAATATGTTTGCCCCGACAAACGTTGCTACTTTACAATCAGTTCTCGGGCTCGCAATTAAGAGCGCCTTTAAATAATTTACTGAAAAAGTGCGCCATGGAATTGGTCCGTTGAATGGTAAAAATCTTTTGAATTCATAAAGAAGAGGTTAACAGCTGAATTATCGATAACGCATTTCAATCCGAATTTAGAACTAATTGTAGCATCAGATGCTAGTTCGTCCGGAAGAAGACGATAAACTACATCCGTGTCCTGCATAAGACGATAAGCTACATCCGTGTCCTGGGTAAGACCATAAACTACATGCGCGTCCTCGGTAAGACGATAAACTACATCTGACAGCACGGCCTTTGGTCAGGAAGTTTTCAGGAGCATATGTGACACTATTTAGGTTGCTAGAAAGAAAGAAGAAAAAAAAAGAAAGGCGAGAATTAAATTTAGGTGATAAGAAGCCATCACGAAAAGGACACTAAGCGATGTTATTCTTTTTAACAAAGAAAAATTCTAAAGGTTTTATTCTCATTAGCGAGGAAAGTAAGGTCGCGGATGTGTCGGATTTAATTTAATTTATGACGACGCACGAATAAGATATATCCAATCTGCCTATGGCAATGGTAAAAATTTCAAGTTGGACAAGCGACCACCCGCAGAGTGCTGGGAGATAAAAATTAATTAGGTCAAGCTTGACCGAAACGAAAATGTCCATTGAACCACCTCCATGTCATTTGGGAAAAACACCTGTTTATTGTCAGGGCTGGCTATGATAGCAAAATTATTTTATCAGAACGAATAATTGGCACCAAGGTGCGATACGTCCAATTGACCACCCACTTGTTTGGCGAAGGTCCCGAGTGACGAATTCCATATGAAATTCGGTTAAGATAAGTGTCTAAGGACTTGTTGTCGGGCAGAAGAAAGGAAAGAAAGGAAGAAAAGAAAAAGGAAGATATATTTTTTTTTCTTTGAGCAAGATTTTTTTAAACCGGGGCCAGTCTGGCCACACCCACACTGCTGGGCGCCCAATGGCTGAATGCTGGCGTGAGCGTCAGGCGAAGGTAATCATGTGAAGAAGGAGGGGAGGCCTGTTGACACCCCCCTGAAGGGATCGGTATGAGATGCCACTGTGAGAGAGAGGGGAAACCCTTTGACACCCTCTGAGGGTATGGTGAGATACCAATATGAGAACAGAAGAAGGTGGGAGGACGAAAACCTTCAAAAAATGGAAAATAATAAATTTTCCTGACCGAAAACAATGAAGTGGATTGTGGATTTAGAATTATCAAGGAACCTCAAACCCCGATAAGCCCACCCCGGTTTTGGTCGGCGTCCATATAAGCAGAGTCGCAGCGAGTGAAATGCAGTTCCAGTTGAGTTGGCAGTTCGAGTTAAGTTCGCAGTTCGCAGCTGAGTTGGATTGAGTTGGGCCCGCCTCGCAGGAACCTGACTGAAAGATTCCACGCAAATCACGACCTCAACTTCTAACCAAGAACAATTTATTTTTTGAAGAACGACTTAAACTCACACCACCAAAACAAGTTTTACGAATATCGCCTGAAGATACACCAAGAACAAGTTTCTTAAAGAACAAACAACTTAAGATGTTAAGACTCGCCTAACAAACATAAAGTGTCACGAATCCATATAGCGGTTTGGGAGAAAGACGCAGTCCTGTATTTCGCAACCAGATATAAAATATTGTTATCCTTTTTAACACATTTGAACTTTTCGAGTTATTATTTTATTTTCTTTTACATATACTTGTGCGGTATTGCCCTTGTTCGGACCCGACTTGTATTAAGGCCCGGCGACTGATTGATTTCGTCTACCTAAGATCAAATCACAACGTGGGTAGGTTAGACTAGAAATCAAAGCAGTTACTTCGGTAACCAGACGTTGGAGGCGAGCTGGGAACGACAAGGCTGATACCGAATCTAACCAGATTCCCATCAGAATCAGCAAAAGGTTAGAACGTGACAATAGAACCATCTCTTAATTGCTGGTGTTCCTAGATCCACCCTGATCTGATGTGGTAGCTCCAGGTATGGGCAAATAGTTAACCTCCCAAATGGAGTCAAAAGACTATGAAATAGGTTTTAATACCAGCAATACTTTTTTGGAAGAATTATTACCAGCAGTACATTTTTGAAAAAGAAATTAACCAGCAATATATTTTTGAAAAAAATATTGCCCACATACATTTTTTTAAAATCTTGTCGGCATTAAATAACCCATTGAGGTTGATATGCTGTAAAACAAAACAAACAAATAATTCAGATGCTAGCGATTATGGCATTGGAGAATTTATTTGTCATAAATTCAAGGTTGATAAAATAAAAACATTTGCCCATGAATGAAAGAAAAATTATATTTAAATCGAAAAAGAGAGGTAGCTGTTATTTTCGCAGTGAAAAAATTCACAGCTTCATACACGAGAGCAAATTTGTTCCACAAAGAGATCACCGCCTGTTATTGACACTTTTTGGTTCTAAAATAAAGGTAAGCCGCCAGGTTGCAATATTGATTTTAAGATGGAGTATTTACCATAAAAAATGGGAAATGTTTTGTTCAGATTAATCCCAAAATTTAAGGAACCTTTTTGAGGAGACGGTAATTGCTTCTTTAATTTATAAAAATTAGATTAAAAAAAAATAACACAATAAGAGAACAACCTGTAACTTTGCTTGAAATTAGAATAAAATCCCAGAAGGCGGGGGCGGGGGGCTAATTCTTTTTTTCGCTTTTTTACTTAGCTTTCACCTTTACGTTTACGATGATGTGAAAATAAGATGGAAAGAATGAAACAAATAAATGTTAATGTAAGTAAATCTTATTTCATTTATGATGACGTAAGCTGAAAAAGTTTTAATTCTTGCTTCCTTACAAAAAAGAATTTTAAAAGGAGTTGGACATTAAGAAACACAAAGAATGAAATTCCTGATAAAAAAAAAAAAGTTACGTATATTGACCCAAAATGAACCAGGATCTTCAAAATTTGGTGAAGTCATGAAGGGGTTATGTGCCCTCACAGCAAAATTGCCTTTTGTACATTATCAATACTGATAAACCTTGGACTAGTTTGCCTGTTGATTCCGCGGAAGCATAGAATGGTCCGTATTATTTGATTGTTCGCAACAGTTTTTCAAAATGGCCGGAATATTTAAGTGTAGAAGATCTATTTTCACTGCAATTCTAAATTTTCATCATGATATATTTTCAAGATTTGGTGTTCTATATACTATAGTCTCTGATAATGGCCATAGTCTCCCACAAATATACCAATTTGAAATGATCTATCTATCTATCTATCTATCTATCTATCTATCTATCTATCTATCTATCTAATTCTGTTCATAATCTATCTATCTATCTATCTATCTAATTCTGTGCACAATCTATCTATTTATCTATCTATCTCAGTTCATTATCTATCTATCTATCTATCTATCTATCTATCTATCTATCTATCTATCTAATTCTGTTCATAATCTATCTATCTATCTATCTATCTCAGTTCATTATCTATCTATCTATCTATCTATCTATCTATCTATCTATCTCAGTTAATTATCTATCTATCTATCTACATAGATACATACATACATGCAGACATATATATGTGTGTGTACGTGTATGTGTTTTTCATTAAGAATGTCTGACAAGGTAATTCTGTTAAGTTTTCTGTTTGTGCTTTTTCTTGTGTGCAAATAAGATATTTCTTTTTTGGACGTTGTGTATGTAGATATTGTCAAATGATTGTTCGTTCCGAGTGCTTTCGGCAAATATTTTTAGTCATTTTCAAGTTGTTCTATTCCCATTTCTGTATAGATTTTTGAGAGACTGATAGTTTTTAATTCCCGAATACGGCTGGTCCATTATGGCCGTAGTCGTATTTAATGAGGTTAATGTTTTTTTTTTTTTTTTTTTACAGTCATGTATTATATCTAGTATGTTTCATATCGACGTTGGTAAGTTTTCATGTTGCTTTTAATGAATCATTAGTGACCTATGTTCCAAGATTTGTAAAGAGAGCCGCCTTGATAAGCGAGTGTGTTGTGTCTGACGTAATTATTCATGAATCTGTTTTTGTTAGGAGAACATTTCCTGTGCAGTATTTGAATTCATAGATAATGTTTGTTTTGTATAATTTAGATTTTACTGAAGAGTTGTTGTTGCTGATGATAAGTTCGGCTTTTAAAAAAAATGTTTTTGAAGTAATTAATTTGATATTTTAATGTATTCTGCTGGAGTAATGCCTTTAAAAAAACTATTCTCTATAGTGCATTAATTTTGGAGGTAATTCCACTGCATCTGGTTTCGTTAAAATACGATGACTGAGCAAAGATTAACCGAAATGGGATTCTAAAAAATTACTCCAGAAATCGATTCGACATTTAATCTCGTTTCTGAAAGCCACACACTTTATTCTACGTCGTTATCAACATCATTTTCATTGATGGAAGCATTCCTGGAACTCGTTTTAGGGTAATAGCTTGCAGTTGCCTCATCGCATTCTCATATACTTCTTCGACGTCTTGAAATCTTCTTCTTCTCAAGTGGGATTCGATTTTTGGAAAGAAGAAAAAGTAACGAAAAGGGCAACATCTGGGGAACATGGTTGATGTCCAACCTTGGAGGTGTTTTTTTTTTCGTGACCGAAGACTGCTGTACAAATTGTGCTGAATTGACGGCAGCGTTGTCATGGTGAGGCAGAGTTGTCACTCACCGGACATAGGCTGTTCTTTTCCATCGAAAAGCATCCCGCAAACACCGCAGCACATTACGTGAGTACTCGTTGTCTGACCAGGTGGAGTATACTCATGATGAACAAGGTTCTTGTAGCCGAAGAAAACTGTCAACAGTGTCTTCACATTGCTTTGACTCATTCTAGCTTTCTTTGGTTTTGGGTTCTTCCACTGCGAAGTCTGAGCCTTGGCTTCAGGGTCATAACTATAAAACCATGATTCTTTACCTGTTGTGACCGTTTCCAAAAGGCTTTCTGTGATGAGACGACCACACTCTACACACTTTCCTTCCAATCACTGCCATAAACAACGGAAATGAACGAAACCGTTATAACAGTGTCCATGCGCGATAGTTCAGTGTCAGTCTGTGCTAAACGACTTCACTCTGTGACGTTTAACTACGTTACCATAACAATAGTCCTATATATTTTTTTAATATCAGACCTCGTATATTAATATTGTAGCTATTATCTAGATATTATTAATAATGGTATTATTGTTTAATTTCTATAGAAGAGATTTGATTTGACTTTTTATAATGAAGTCGTTATTGACTAGCATTTGTTTTCCGCTACTAAGTTCTTTAAGAAATGACGTATGCGTGGATGAGATCTCGTAAGCTCTCATTAGGAATTTTTTTCATTAACGCTAATTTATATTAAATGAATATTTGCTATTATAATTAAATAAAATTTAGTAATAATGTTGTAGAGTAATTTTCACAGTGGAGGCTTGTATTTCAATAAGTCGTCCTAAATTAGGTTCGACGTACAAAACGTTAGGAACTTGAAATAAGAGTTAATGACGCAGCAATCTAGTTGTGATGGTTGGTACTTCAATGTCCGATATCGACTGACTCGCTCAACACCACTGAACCCAACTGGCGACCGCTACTACTACTACTACTAGTAGTACTTATTATGTGTGGGAGAGTCTATTAATAATAGAATAGGTACGTCAGGTATAACAAATACTAAAATAAAAAAATCACAAATAAAAAACACTTGACCTCTCAATTATATTATCAAATTTCCACTTAGGTATAAATTTTAACATTTAGTCGTAATTTTACTGGTAAGAAGTCATCCCTAACGTGATTTAACCTATCGTGTATTTTGTTTTAACTCTTAACACTCGTCGGATGTTTGTTGCTTATTTCCGATACACGTTGCTTTCCTAACGGTCGTAGAATGTCAAAAACGACCTGTGCGCTGCGTTAAAATCTAAGAGAAAGAAGAAAGAGAAACTAAACTAAAATTAATAATATTTCGCCTTCTTTCGTACTCTGAACGTTAAATATCACGACTGCAATTCATTTGACCAATCGAAAAGAAACCTTCTGGTTAAAAATATACATTGTAACAGCCTGCCGATACAGGTTTTATCTTCGTTGCGGATAACAGTTTGTAGCTTTTATTTCACAGTAAGATAAAACAGTGTGAGTGGGATTAGCTTACGTGGATGTCTGACGTCATTTATTTTCTCATATGATATTTGAATGCCAATTTTCAAGGGATGCAAATCTTTCCCATTTAGACGATTGGCGCAAAATAATCTTCCTTCTATACTTAATGTAGGTTGAAGCGACAAATTTGGTGAAGATTCATAGGTCTATTCTAGCATTAAGCTTAGGAATATGAGATCTTTTTTCTTCCATTTTTTACACACGTATTCTTTTCAGCACTGAAAACGCAAGAGTATGGAAGATGGCTACGGTTTTTGTTTATTAATGGTGACAATGAAAGTGTCAGTGTCATTTTTTTCTCTGCTCTTCCGGCATTGGAGATGATAAGTGGTATTGTAAGTGAAAGCGATGGCACGGTTGTATTACATGAATGTCAGCCATGATGAAAAGGTTTATAATGACGATTTAATATACTCAATGGTGCATTCTTCATTCGTCACAAGATCAATTCATGCACGTTTGCAATTTTTCCGATAGTTTTTTTTTGTTTTGCGATACAATTTTATTTTTCTGCACTTGACAATCTCTTGGCATATTTTTAAAAAAAATATTATCTTATATTTTTTTTACTTCCCACAACAGCCACTCATTTGTTTTGATAACATATATACCCATTGTCGAAACAAAACCCTTTGCACATTATCAATGTTATTATTATTATTATTAAAGCGATAAATCCGACGTGTTAAAACAAGAAGAAAAATTAATAACAAAAAGAGCGATAAGAACAAGTAACATCACTGTAATGTGGTAATATCGAAATACAACACAATTAACAAAAACCAAAAAAAAAACAAAAAACAACAAAACAAAAAAAAAACAAAACTGTTTATTGGTCCTCTCTCATCAGAGCTCAATTGAGGATAAAAATGTACATAGCGGCTAAAACTGAGCACCAAAAACTAAATGTTATATATAAAAAAATATAAGAGGCTAACTGCCTTTAAGTCTTCCTTCTATTTACAGAGAGGTGGCTGGTAGGACTTAATGTAAACAAATTCCAACACCTTATACAGCGGCTAAAACTGATCACCAAAGACTAAATGTTATATATAAAAAATAAGTATAAGAGGTTAATTACCTTTAAGTCTACCTTCTATTTACTGAGAGGTGGCTGGTAGAACTTAATGTAAACAAATTCCAACACCTTCAAATAAATATTGACAACTAACCTTCAGTACTGAAAATATGTCTTGGTTATTCACAGTTTTCGTCTTCAACTGAGATCTCATGAGAGAGGAGCGAGAAACATGTTGAGGTGTTTTTTTTTTCGTTAATAGTGTTTTATTTTGATATTACTACTTTACGGTTATGTTATTTTTTTACCCCCCCCCCCTATGTTTTGGTTATTAATTTTTCTTCTTTTTTCAACATGTCGGTTTTTATCGCTTTAACAAAATTTCTTATCCCTGCAATCTGATAGAAGTATACCAAACGCACGCATCAAAAATATAAGCAATACGGTGACAGTTTTTGACAAAAGCAGTGCATGGCTTTGCAGGTGGCACATAGTTAGAAATACCCTCAGCTGGGCCCACTCACACGATCTCCCATTGAGGGTGTTCTCAACTGTTTAGATGCAAGTATCACCCAACTTGTCCGAGCAAATTTAAAACAAATGACGCAAACAGTCGTATTGAAACACTTTCATAATGCTCCCTAATTATTGTACACTTCTTCTTCTTTGTGCTGTGTCCCTTTTGGACGTAGGCGATCATGGGCTCTCCACAATTTCCTATTCGTTGTAGCTGTTAATAATTTTTTTTCTTTTTGTTATTTCTCCTAAACCTTGTCCCGTCCTCCATTTACTCAAACTCATTAAGTAGGTTATGTGTTGTTTCCCTTTGCACCTCTTGCCTTTAATCCGTCTTGTGAGTATCAAATTTTCCAAGCCCTCTTTCCTCATTATGGGCACTAGAAATTTCAACTGTCTCTTTCTGATAATATGTAGAAGTTCTCTTTTTGTTTCCTTTCATTTTCTCTAAAACTTCGTCGATATTCACATGTTCGGTCTATGGTATCCCCAGCATTCTCCTGATTCTGCTGGCCGAAGTCTTCTCTTAAGATTCGCTAATGCTATCATCTCGAAGATTACTAGTACCTCCAGTTTTTCATTTAAATTTTCGGAACCACTCACAATTCCTTGACAATGATTATTGTCGCTTTCATTTTTCCATAGTATACTACCCCGACGACATGATAGGACACAGTACAAAGAAGAAGAAGAAGAAGAAGAAAAGAAGAAGAAGAAAAGAAGAAGAAGAAGAAAAGAAGAAGAAGAAGAAAAGAAGAAGAAAAAGAAGAAAAGAAGAACAAGAAAAAGAAGAACGAGAACAAGAACAAGAAAAAAAGAAGAAAAAGAAGAAAAGAAGAAGAAAAAGAAGAAAGAAGAAGAAAAGAAGAAAAAGAAGGAAGAAGAAGAACAAGAACAAGAAAAAAAGAAGAAAAAGAAAAAAGAAAAACAAGAAGAAAAGAAGAAAAACAAGAAAAGGAAGGAAGAAGAAGAACAAGAACAAAAAAAGAAGAAAAAGAAAAAAGAAAAACAAGAAGAAGAAAAAGAAGAAAAAGAAGAAAGAAGAAGAAGAAAAGAAGAAAAAGAAGAAAGAAGAAGAAGAAGAAGAAAAGAAGAAGAAGAAAAAGAAGAACAAGAAGTAGGAGAAAAGAAGAAGAAAAAGAAGAAGAAGAAAAGAAGAAGAAAAAGAAGAACAAGAAGAACAAGATGAAAAACAAGAAGGAGAAAAAGAAGAACAAAAAGTAGAAGAAAAGAAGAAGAAAAAGAAGAAAAAAACAAGAACAATAAGTAAAGGAGAACAAGCAAAGAAGAAGGAAAAGAAGAAGAAGAAGAAGAAAAAAAAAAGGAGAAGAAGAAGAAAAAGAAAATGTCATTCATAATTCGTGTTCTGATTTCGACCTCACCATTTAATTCTATTTGAGATTTTTATTTGCGCAAAGACGTGTTCAAATCTGTTCCCGTGTCGCTTATCTTTATTCTTTTTCGATCAATATTGCATTTGATAAAGTGTAAACTCAACCAGCACATATTTGTCATGTTTTATGCGGATCTCCCTGCGTGAATCAATATCTGTCGTGCTAATGAGAAATTAAAAAAAAAAAACTTTAAAAAATACGTACGCACAAAACAGAAAAGAAAAACAAGGAAACGAAAGCACAACCTTTTGAAGGTTTTAAAACATTTTAACGAAAATTTTCTCACTAATGTGCTTTTAAAGTGAAATATTGTCAATATTTAAAGTTAAAACACCTGAGATAAAAGATTGGACGTCCTTTAGCAATCAAAGTTGGCACTGTTCACCGGAAATGCCGAAACCGGAAGGAAATCATTCATTAATGAACGTTGAATGGCTGAGGTGTTTTGGGGGGCATCGGAAATAGAGAAAGATGCCAGCAGAAGTGACCGGAAATATTTGGGGTGTGACTAGGTATAACCAGTTATCATATGAAAGGCTGCTCGTATGCGCGTGCGCAGACAAAAATGAAAGGCTGCTCGTATGCGCGTGCGCACACACAAATGAAAGGCTGCTCGTATGGGCATGCGCAGACACACACACAAATATATATATATACATATACATATATAGAAAATACATTAGGTGGGCTTTAAAGCAAAAATAATGGAAAACGAAAGACAAATGAAAGAAGGAAAAATAACGAAAGGATGATGACAAAAAACGTGATATACAAAAAAAATATATATGAAATAAATTTAGTGAAATTAAGTGAACGATATAGACGGAAAAAGAAAAGATACATATCAGTATGAAGAAAGCTTGAATTGAAAAAATACAAGATTTAGGTAGGAAGAAAGATGTAAAAAGGAAGTTAAATAAAAAATAAGAAGAAAGAAAAGGAAGAAAGAATGGAAACAGAGAGGATAGCAAGAAGAGTTAAAGAAAGAAAGAAAGAATAGAAAAAAAAAGATGAAGAAAATGAGGATAAAAGGAAGAAAGAAGCGTGTAAAAGAGAGATACAAAGAAAAGGAAAGGAACTTAAGACAGAAATGAAAGAAAAAATGGACAAAAGCAGAAAAACGATAAACTAGAATTCAACCAAAAGAGAAGGTATCATAGTCGGAAGAAAGAAAGAAAGAAAAAAGAAAGAAAGAAAGAAAGAAAGAATGGTTGGAAGGTCAAAAAGAAAGACAGGAAAATAGAAGTAAAGAAGTAAGAAAGAATAAAAGAAAAAGAAATGTAAAAAAAGAAAATATAACAACAAAAGAACAAAAAAAAAAAAAGAAGAAAGGACATTAGGAGAGAAAAACAAGAAGAAATTAAAAAGAGTGGTGATGAAGAAGAATAAAGAAAGAATGAAAGAGGAATGGAAAGGAAATACCGAAGCAGAAAAGAGGGATGTCAAGGGAGGAAGAGAATACGGGAGATGAAGTAAAAGAGAAGAGTAGGAAACGAAAGAAAATGGAGGAGATGAAAAACGAAAGAAAGACAGCAAATGAGGGAAGATAGTAGAGATTTCAGGGAAAGGAGATAATAAAGAAAAAAGAGAAACTGGTAAGAGTTGGAGGGAGAGGAGCCAAGAAAGAAAGAATGAGAAGAATGGAGAGTAAAGCTAAAAAAGAAGGAGGAGAAAAAGCAAAGAAGAAAGGTGAAGGGGTGAAAAAATGAGTGAGGGTAGAGATAAAGTCAGAAGGAAAGAGTGAGGGTAGGAGAGAGTGAGAAAGTGACAGAAAGAGCAGAAGGAAGGAGAGAAAGAAGTTAAAGAGTGGTTAAAAAAGTAAAATAAGGAGGGAGAATTTATACAGAATAACAAAAGGGGAGGGTGATAATATGAAGGAGTGAGAAAAAGTTAAAGAAAGAAGAAGAAAGGAGAGAAGAAATAAAGGGAAGAGATAGGTAAAGAAAACCAGAAAAATAGGATAGAAATTTAGAGAGAAATATATATATATATATATATATATATATATATATATATATAGAGAGAGAGAGAGAGAGAGAGAAGAGTGGGGATAGGCGGGAGTGGGGAAAAGAGTGGTAGAAAGGAAAGAAAGAAATAAGGAATGAGTGAAAGGGAGAGGTAGAAAAGTAAAGGAAGGAAAGAAAGAAAGAAGATAAAGATACCAGGAAAAAGTGAGGCTAGAAGGAGAAAGTCAAGAACGTGAAAATGGAAGGGGAAACAAAAGAAATGATGGAAGAATGTGTGAAAAGAGAAGGAGAAAGGAAAGAAAAAAATGAAAAAAGAAAGACAAAAATGAGGGGAGATTGAGAAAATGAGAGATGCGAAGAAAGGAAAAAAGAAGAAGAGATTAAAAAATAGAAAGGAAGGAAGGAAGGAAAAAGGAATAATAAAAAAAACAAACAAGTGATGACAAAGCAAAGACGATTGGTCAGGATCGGCGGAAACGAAAAAGGATATTAACTAAGGAAAAAAAAAAAAATTAAAGTCGGAAACTAAGAAACAAAAGAATTACTGGCAGAACAGAAGATATAAGCAAGAAAATAAAAGGCTAAAAAGTTTTGCTGAAATGTAAGTCTGCCAAATAAGAATAAGATCCGGTAAGGAGAAAAATAAAAAAAATAAACAAAAAGATTCAAGGCGAAGTACGGTAAGGCTAAGAAAAGAAAACAAAAGAGACATGAAGAGAATGAACAAGGCAGAAAATATGCGAAGGCCAATAGAAATAAAATCAGAAGTACGTCAAAAAAAAAAAAAAAAAAATAGAAAGAGGACAAAGGAAATGGAAGTCGGGAAGAAGAGTAATGAATGGAAACAGTATAAGTGATTGAGAGGGTGAGTTGACAGGTCGCCGGTAAAGTGGGCGACGTTCATGTCCAGTCAGAAAAAGGGACCGGGGAAGTGTTATGGCGATCAGTCAGTGTGATTGGCGGCAAATGAAAAGAGAAATGTAGACAGGAAAAAAAGAAAAAAATGGAACAAGCATAAATGGATAGATACGTATATCTGTTATGTCTAAAATGGCATTATATCATATATCATATGTGTATATATATATATATATATATATATATATATATATATATATATATATATATATATATATATATATAAATATATCAGATACATTCATATATATATATATATATATATATATATATATTTATCAACCACAAAATGCATAAGATAATTTATGATACATTGCCATACGTATGTGCAAATGTAAACACACACACACACACACACACACACACACACACACACACACACACACATATATATATATATATATATATATATATCTCCATAGTTAAATACCTGAGTAAATTTATATATAGTAAAAATAAAGCTGTATGTATGTATAGAAAAACGCACACAGACGCACGAAAACACACACACGCGCATGCACACACGCACATATCCATACATAAATGCATGTGGATATTTTTTTTCGGAAATGAAAGCAAAAAATCTCTACCACTATTTTGAAATATTCAATTTGTTTTCCGATTCAAACTACATTTTCTGTATTAATTCATTAATACATAAATTTTTAAAAAAACTTGAATTTTTGAAAAAACTTTGGAGAAATATTTTTGTGGCTTATGTTTCTATATCTCGTGTGTACTTTTTCATTTGTGGGTTGCTCCTCCAGAAAGAAAAGGAAACAATATATTATTTATTATCATTATAAAGTATTATTTCATTAAAAAATATTAATTGTGAGCGGAAAATTCAGTCCGCATCTTATCGAAGTTAATTCAATAAAACTCATTTTGTTTTTGTGAATTGCTACTTGCATAATTTAATAAATCGTGCTATTTTCTTTCAGATTGAACAGAAAGAAATCTACACTTAAAGTTTATTTAAAATAAATTAATTGTAATTTTTCAGTGCAATTTTGAAATTCATTCCATTGTTGTTCGTCACAAGAGTTCTTTTATTAAATGAAGATTCCAAAAATGTAAAGTTTTTTAATGTGAATCTTTTTTGAAAATAATTTTATTTTTCTCTTTAGATTATTCCTAGTACTGATATACAAAAAGAAAATAATTCTGATACCTTGCATTGACTGACTAAACTTTTTAAAAAAATGATGTTTACCCTTGGCAAGGCCTAGGAGCCACAGAGAGAGAGAGAGAGAGAGAGAGAGAGAGAGAGAGAGAGTTGCAGATTACGAGGCGCCGTTTATGTGGGGGAAGATAATGTTTGACCCTATACTTGAACAGGTTAAAATTGTTGCAATCTGAGAAGCATCAATGGTTCATGGGAAGAAGTTTCTCGTGTGGAACTTACATCTCGCCCCTGGATTATGAAGGGAATGGAGTGGGTGTGGTTTGTTACAATGTTTGTGGAATGGCGGATCTTAGCTGTGAAGGTTTTAAATAGTTGAACAAAAGAATGTAGTTCGTATGAACATTTTGCATGGAAATCGCCAAGAAACTCTCAAGGCACGTGGTTTCTCCATTGAAAGAACACCCGTTCATCGCGATAAGTGAAAGTCCTGGGTCCGCTCGATAATGACGGAGCATCACTAGTTTGGTTTTTGAGGTACTGAATGGGACCAGCCAATTTTTCTACAGAGCTGTTAGAGCTTGGTCAGAGACACGATCAGTTGCCAAGTTTACTTTAACAGTAACAAAATCTGTCAGATTAATAAATTGATTGGTTTGTCTATTTAACGACATATCAACTCCTTATTGGTCATTTAATGCTGAAATTTAATTTTTGGGGGAGCTTTAAAGTAATACAGTTATGATATATATTATTCTGCTTTCACAGTTGAATACATGGTAGATAATACTCAGCTTTTGTGCATATACATGTTTGTGTGGACATAATTACTAGAGGCGGTGATATGTGTGTTTTATGTTGTTTTGTTTAATTTATATTTTGAAATACAGTTTGATTTCTTTAAGAAATTGTCGGATATTATATGACTCAATGTCATTGTTATATCACCGATGAGAATGAGGGCTTAATATATTTATTCAGCACCTGTATCTGGTGCTAACGGATACAAACTAAAAACACAGAACAATAAGTTACAAAACAATTAACAAGACAACTTACAAGGAATAGAGGAGGGTTAAATGCTGTATAGCCAAACGAAGTAAGATCAGTCCGAATATTAATCAGCTTAGTATCAACTTATTAATCAACTACTGAAGTCCTTAATCATAGACTATTTAAGGCTATGAGCCAGGCCATCTGGGAGAGTCATTATTTCTAGTATTTACAGAAAAGACACAGGGAAGAAACTTTACAGCGGCGGGAATGTTAGTGAACCCGAGATGCCAGGTCAAGACCAATAATATTGCTTATTCTTCTTTATTGTTGCAAAATAAAATCTTCACAGTCGCCTAACAGGTTTTACTTTCATCAAAGCTTTGCCACAGATTGAGAAAAAAAATCAGATAAAAAATCTTGTTCTTTAACTTAACTTAATGTATATATATATATATATATATATATATATATATATATATATATATATATATGGGATGCGTAAGTTGGTATACAATAATGTAAAACAAAATGTGCGCACGAAACGCAATTCATCGAATTCCGAAGCATATTAATCAAATCAAATCATTTAATGTATACCGTATTTTCCAGCCCCCCCCTGTAGATATATAAGTATGATAAGATAAAAAGGAAGTAGGAAACGTTTATCAATCTAACATGTTTCTATTTTCTTAAAGCTTCATCAGAGAAAGCGTTGTGTAAAAAAAAAGAAAAACGCATTTTAACTTTTCATTGGTTTACGTGCATTCGATTTGTTAAATCATTTGTTTTTTCCCTCCATATCTCATGTCCTGATGAAGCTTTAAAAAAAGTGAAACATTTTCGATTGATAAACGTTTCCTATTTCTTCTTTATCTTAACATCCTGTTGGATTCCGACCCATATTTGATTTGCGTTTGATCTTTAACACACACACACACACACACACACACACATATATATATATATATATATGTATATAGCTGGCCACTCGTATTCGAGGATACCTGTCTATTAAGGCGGCTACCCTATAGCAGACGCTTGCTCAGCAGTGGTTTATACGGCAAGTATGAAGAGCGTGTTATCTAAACAAGGCCAGCAGGCTCAAGCCCTCGCCCACGTTGACTTGTGTTATCGACGGCCTCCAAGGGTTCTGTCTACTCAACCCGTGGTTTGGTTTTCAGGTGCCGCACGCTGGGATCGACTCATCCAGACCGATAACATCAGGAAGTCTCCTTACTGAAAAATCGTGTGTGTGTGCGTGTGTGTGTGTGCGTGTGTGTGTGTGTGTGATTTGAGTTAATTCATCGAGTCTAGAAGAAACCTCAACAGAACGCAGAAAGCACTGGACGGCCGTTTCGTCCTATATTTGAGACTCATCCGCAGTGCGCATACACTACCAAGCATTGAAACCCGGAGAGTTACGATATCAGGCAAACGTCATACCAACTGGCCTCGGTAACGAAGAGGTAGCGAATTAAATTCGATAGTTCTATGGGTGAGAGATGAGTTTCACCACGGAACATGTGATCGGGCGGCGCTATATCGAGCCTAATTCGCCCGTTGGTACAGTTGGTATGACGTTTGCCTGATAACAGAACTGTCCGGATTTCAGTTCTCGGTAGTGGATGCACACTGTTGATTTTCCCAAATATTGGGCGAAACGATCGTCCAGTGCATTCTGTTGTGGTTTCTTCTAGACTCGATGAATTATATATATATATATATATATATATATATATATATATATATATATATGTGTGTGTGTGTGTAGTACTTAGTGGAAAACACTCAATATCAGTGATAGAGCTAACATATTTAATTGTACTGATATGAGTTTGTGACCCAGGATTTCACCTTTTTGCGATCATCAGACGAACGTTTATTTATTTTAAAATTGGATCTATTTATATTTGTTTGCCTATGTTTGGTGATGGGAGAGGGAATGTGATGTTTGGGGTGGCACTCGCATACGTATGGACCCACATACGTACAGCTGTACTCATTTTGGTTTACACAAACACATCCATATATACAACCCGAGGCTAGGCGCAGATACACATCCATGCGTTCGGACATACATACATACGTAGTCGTAATTTTATTTCGGTGTCGAGACTGTAGCTTTTATAAAACAGTTTATCTGATGATCACAAAAGTGTGAAACCCGAGGTCACAAACTAATATACA